TGTTGGTACAGGTGGTTGTCTTATACAGGTTGCCGTTAGAGCAGGTTTGAATGGACAGTATGTTTTCAGCAGTTGACTTTGGCTTCCTCTCAGGTTCAGGTTCCGTGTCAAATTCTGGTGAATCTGGGTTTTTTCTGTTTTGCTTTCTCCTTCTTTTGGGTGGTTGGCGGGGGCTCTTGTGTGGTTTGCTCCTTATTTCCTATCGAAGATCTATCGTCCTAATCTCTCCTCCTTCCCCCGCGGGGCAGTGCCACTGACTGTTGTGTCTTCAGGTCATTCCCAAAGGGGAGACATTTCTCGTTCAAGCACTGTAGAATTGTAAATGGGCTGATTCATAATGTCACGCTCATAACTGTGCCTGATCATAATCGAAGCAGACTTTGAGCTGCTGAAGCTAGAGAGGTGAGCAGAGCAAGTCGGATTCCCTGTAAGGACTTCTTTGTTGACATCCACCCCTTGGCACTCATATGACCTTATGCAGTTACGAGCGCCGCAAAACCCTCTACTAAAACTAAACTAACTCTCCTCCTTCCTTTTTTTGTATGTTACTCCTCAGTTACACCTCAAATCCCCGCACTTATACTACTTATTTGTGTTGCAAAATGCTGTAAAACTCTAACTAAAGGGACGCTACAGAAATCAAGTCGTCGGGTAGTAAAGGTTTTCCCAACTGACATTTGCACCCATTAATTTATATTACGAAAGCTTCAACTATGATCTATTTACATTGCTAGTGCTGGAAAACCAATGTTTGAACTCGAAACAGCTTTCTCATAATGATCTTGCTCGGAGAATAGCCTCATCCTGCTTCCTGACCTCGTAGGCAAACTGTACACTGATATTTGATCGCACCTTTTTTTATCATTATTTTTTCCCCCTCTCCATCCAATAGCGTGCTCAGTAGCTGTACATGTGTACACTAGCTGATATTAAACCCGCTCTCGTCGATGAACGGTTTCCTGGAGTTTTTCTTTTTCCTTTCCTTTTTATTTTGTTCGTTTTCTTTTCTTTTCTTTTGGCATAGTTTTCGTTGCGGTTGCATACTTCTGTACGACACCGTGTTTCCATGTTTGCTGGTTTTTGTGGAAAGGTTGAAATGACCCAGTGTCCCTTTCTTTCTTTCTCTCTATCTCTATCTCTCTCTCTCTGTCTGTGTGCGTGTGTGTCTGTGTGTGTGTGTGTGTGTGTGTGTGTGTGTGTGT